CCCTGTAGCCCCTCTCCCTGGCCTTCTTTTCAACCTCTAGTGCTCAACCGTCCTATAAGCAGGTTGACTTTTATATTCAGCCTCACCTATGAGAGGGAACATGGGGCACTTGTCTGTCTGTGTCTGTCTTACTTCACCTAATACAGTGCCCTTCAGTTCCATCCATTTTGCTTTAGGTAACAGGATTTCATTCCTCTTTATGGCTAAATAGTATGCCCTTGTGTTCATACGCCACATTTTCTTAACGCATTCATTCTTTGATGGCTCCCTAGTTTGATTCCACATATTAATTGTTGAGAATAATGCCCCAATAAACATAGGCAAGCAGGTATGCCTTTGGCATGCTAATCTCATTTCCTCTGAATATATATATATATATATATATATATGCAGAAATGCTGTAGCTCGGTCATAAGTAGATCAATTTTTAGTTTGCATTAGTTCAATTTAATATTAAAACAAATTTAAATTTGAAAAATTGTCATTATGTGTATCACTGTTATTTATGGCAAGCCAATGGTAAATAGTTTTTAATAATTTAAAATTCACTACATGATATCTGCAGTCCTATTTATTGCAACACTATTCAAAAAAGCTTAGAAAAGGAAATGACCTAAGTGCTCATCAATTAAAGAATGGACAAAGAAAATGTGATACATATATACAGTGGAATACTATCCAGCTATGAAAAAAGGATGAAACTTTGTAACTCAGGACAATGTGAATAGGACTAGAGATCATTATGCTAGTGAAAAGTGAAAGAGGCCAAACTCAGAAAGATAAGCACCACAGGATCTGACTCATCTGTGAATCTAAAGATGTTTATCTCTTAGAAGTTGAGAGAGGGAGCCGGGGAGGGGGAAAGGTGGACTAATGGCTACCAAGTTACCATTAGATGCTAGTAAAGCCTGGTGTGCTGCTGCACAGCTAGTGACCATGGGTAACAGTAATGAATGTGATTTCAAAAAGCTAGAAGGAAGGATTTTAAAAGTTTTCAACACAAACAAGTGGTGAATATTGGAGGAGGTAGACATGTTTAACCTGATTTAAACACTTCCCAATTATACATGTATTGAACTTCATATTATCCCAGTAATGCGTGTGATTTAAACTAAATATGGATACTTTTATAAAATTAAGGCCTGTCTCTAAGCACATTTAACTCTAAAACATACTCTCCATAAATGAGTTTTCAAAATTAAACCTTTGGATTCCGACTGACATTGTTCTCTGAATTCAGATTCTTTCAAATACCTGGGCCATATATAAAATGAGAATAATGCAAGGTTATTTGCAAATTAATGAAATATTTTTGAATATTGACAAAATATGATTTATATAGTCGTTAGATACAAAGTAAAACCATTCATCACACAAGGAAAAATACTTTCAAAGTAGCATAAAGAAAGTCCCCTTCATAATGGCGACACTCATCGAAACCCGTGATTTTCCATGTGGTCTAATTGAGAGACCCAGCTTCCAAAACTAATAATGCATGAAGATTGGGTTTTCTTCCCAAGTACAATTTAGAATCAAGGGAGAGCCCCTCAAAATTTCACCACAGTGTGAAATATTTTAGATGAGGAGATTGTGTTGATCTCTACATGGTGTTTGCACTGAGCATGCATTTGTGCCTGGACAGAGGCCTTACTGTTTTAAGGGGGAAGTGGAATATTAAGATCATGCAGAACCGCAAGCATTAGAGGAAGAGTGTGTGGTTTCGGAGGACCCTGATGGGAAAGCTTGTGCTCCTTCCCTGAGACTCGGTGGCCTTGTTTCAGTCTCCAGGCAGCTTTGCAGGAGGAAGGCCTGGAGAAAGGCAGGAGTCTCTGGAATGTTCCCCCAGAACGCTTCTCCAAGTGCAGCTTTGCCGAATCTACCCACCAACTTAAAGATGGGACCGCACGCAGGGCGATCCTACACGCAACAGCTGTATGTGCACAGGTACTGAGGGAGGATTTGCTGACTTCCGTCCTTAGTACCATGATCAGGAATGCACCCTTCTCTTCTCCTGTGTAGTTATGATGCTTTGTTCTCATGTCCCTAGGCCCAGGGGAAGATGTTACTAAATCATTTGTATATCTTAAAATCAAGAAATTTTGGTAGATTTTTATATAAAATCTGTTTTATATAATAGAAGTACAGGTAGATTCTATTCAATGGCACTGATTATAGAATATATTTTAATTAAGTTATTAGAAATTATAACTCCAAAATTGAAAAAAAAAAACCTTGACACTTTAAGAAGCAGATGTTCACATCTCTGTAATAAATTTCTATGTTAAACAGATGGTGTCTCGATTTGATAGAAAAGGAAAAAATAAGTCATTCTTGCATCCTTATGCCTGACTCTGCTTGTGTTGGAGGAAAGTTTTAAGAAGTTTACAATGAAAATATCTATGTATGGTTCTGGTTTTCTTTTCTTTTTCTTGAGGATGGGAGGAAAACAGAGCTACAGAAATATACTTCAGCTAGATCAAAAACAGAGGCAAATGAAATGATGTGATAGAAGAATCAAAAGGACCCAGGGTCACTGTTTCTATACTTTTTCAGTGGGAAGATCTTTCTAAACATAGCACACAGAACCCAGGAGACAGAAAGGAAAATGTTCACCCATTTTACTTATAAAAGAAATTTTATAAACTTTGTAAGAAGATTTAATGACAAACAGATAAATATTACTCACAGAGAGATAAATTTTAATACAGAAGTTGCCCTTTCTGATGACCTTGAGGAAAACCAATGACCTGTAAAGACATCCAGCTGGAATTAGAAATGGAGAAAAGTCTACACAGAAGGAATGCAAAAGATTGATAAGTGCACACACATGTGCTGTGTCCTAAGTAACTCACACCTTAAAGAAACAGACCACTGGGAGATTCTGTTGGCTCCTTTACCAGAGAGAGGTAAATTCTAAAAATATAACAATATTTTTAGAAGAGGTGAAATAGGCACCTCCTTGTTGATGGTTAGTGCAGAATTACTACAAATACTTAGAACTTTTAGCTCATCAGGCCCTCCTACAGGACTTAATCACAGAGATAACCTGTCCCAAATGAACACTGTAGCCTTGCTTTTTAAAGGAGAAATTTAAGTCAGTTACTAAAAGAATGAGGTAGAGCTGTATTTATTGACAAGAATAATGTTGTGATAGATCACGTGGTACAGACAGCAAACCATGATCAGTGTGAGTGTGATCACATGCGTGCACATTATCTATAACAATATAAATCATACCACTGCACACAAACACTAGTAACAAGATATTACATGTGCCTACAGAGATATGTGCATATAAGCATGCTCACAGAGGCATGGAGAAGTATCTCCAGCATATTTACACTAACGTGAGCAGTGCCTACCCTTGGTGGAAAGCTTCCAGGTTGGCCTTTATAATAGTCTGGCTTGAGTTTTTTAATGAAAGTAATAAATGCACATGGCCAGAGTCCTGGGGTTACTGTGACAGGAGGTTGTTAGGATCCCTTTGCACCCTCCCTTGTCCCTACTGCTGGAAAAAGCCCTTGTAACCCTTTCTGTCTGAACTTCTTTAGGTAGTTTATAAATAATCATTGCATAATAACTTAGTAAAGCATAGTATTCAACCCCCATCTCTCGATGTCTCCTCTGTAAACGTACGTTCTCACGGTGTGATTCTGAAGTTGCCTTTGCCCTGTTTCGAGTCTTTTTCTTAAAACAGGACAGGTGCTCACCATGCAGAACAGGTGCTGAACAGTAATGAGGCAGAGAAGATGAGCACAGCCCCTGAGCAGGCATAACGTGCAAGTTCAGGAAGCGTGACTCGTTTGTTCGTTCCCAAATTAAAAAGCTGGGTTTCCTTTCTCTAAGAATAAAAGAAAGAAAAGAATTGTGATACAAAAGAAAATGGAAGGGAATGCTGTTTTTAATCGAGGTTCTGTGTTCAGAAGGTTGCTGTGTGGTTTAAATGACCCGGTCCCCAGAACAGTGCCTTACTTAGGATTGCCATGTTCCATGTGCTGTGGCTGTCTTGCGTTATTCTCATCAGCAACTTGATACTTACACAACCTCCCTGCCTGCTGCTTGATGGTTGAGCTGTGACTTTTGGCCCTGCTTTGGGTGGCCTGGTAGCCGTATGAAGTCCTCCCTTGCTCTAAGTGGCGTCCTCACCCTGTGATAGGGGCAGTAGGCCTGTGGCTGGCTTCACTTCCCTGTGTATTTTTGGCTTCTCACAGTGATCCTTGTTTCTTTCCCATCCCCCCAATTTACCTCTTTTGTATTTGTAATGCAGGGGACCTAATCCTCATCTAATAATCCATGTTGTATATAAAATATTCACCATCTGCCACTCGTGATGTAATATGGTGGATATTATATATGCAGCCATGTGTATTGCAAGTTTGAATATATGTTACAGTACTCAAAAGGAAGATATCCCTATTGCATTGAATTTCAACTAACTGCATTGAAGCATTTTAGATGTTCATGCTTTTCCTTGGGGCAGTTTCTCAAATTGTCTCTGCCTCAGTTATCTAATCGGTAAAGTGGCAATGGCATTTATGATGACTGTGATGGTGTTGCTGTTTGTGGTGACAATGGTAAAGAGGGATACTTAGACTTGCTTGTTCAAGACAAGTGTCCAGGTAATATACTGGTTTTCTTGGAGTTTATACAATTGTGTGTGTTCAATAAATGGTGCCTATTATGAAGGAGATGTCAATGATGATCACGTTGGCAGTGGTGGTACTGATGGTGAGAATAACTGTTTTGTCTTTGAGCACAGGAAAATTTTAACTTTAGCTCAGCTCGTGACACCAAAATTCTCTTGTTAGGATGTGGAGTCATCTGTCCAGTATGCTAGATAAAACAAAAATAAGTGATGTGTTACTAGATACTAGAATGTACAGGTAACTATGTTGTGCAGACTAAATGCTCACTGGTGCTCATAGCTGTCTCTGTGCCTGCTCCGAGAGGGACAGGCTAGGCAAAGCTGCCCCTCTGCTGACCCTTTGCTGTGTTTCCAGCACCTGCATTGGCGCCCAGGACCCTTACTGCGGCTGGGACGTGGTGATGAAGAAATGCACGAGCCTGGAGGAGAGCCTCAGCATGACCCAGTGGGAGCAGAGCCTCTCCACCTGCCCGGTACGTGCCCACCCATCCAGCCCCAGGAGGCACTGTCTGAGAAGCTGGCCTCCTGACCACCCACCCACACTCCCCACGTCTCCACACCCCTCAGGTGGGAACTATCCTTGCAAATCCAGTGTGTGTTTTCTGAACTCTCTCAGCTCTTAGCTTGCAGGAAGGACACTTGGATTCTGTCGCAAGCTTTTTGCTTGCGAATGTCTTAAGATACTATCATGGATCATAGTGTCGCTGAATCTTGGAATTATCCCCTGCAGTGTGGAATGGACTCTTTTGCCCCTTGTAGCACTAATAAAATGGGAGCTTCCACATCAGGACATTTCCCTCGGAGACAGTAATTTCAGAAATCAACATCAGTGAAGATTTGAAAAGAGTAAACTAAAGGATATTACTTTGACCCCATGTGGAGCCAACTAGCAGAAATTGCTCTGGGTCATGGGAAGGCCTGGGAGAAGCATCCGCGTGTGCATTCCCACGCTGAACCCTGAGGGATAAGGAGAAACATGCCTGCATTTACAGCCAGACCATGAATCCAAGAAAAGCAAACTCCACTGTTCCCTTTGCTCATCTGTTTGATTCAGGTCCTCACTTGTAGGAACTTCTTCTTTCCTTTGGAATTCTTCACCCTGTCATCTCAGATTCACTTTTCTGTTCTCATAGCACAAGAGCAAGTGCTATTAGCTTCCATGTCTTTGAAAAGCTACAAAGTCTCTCTGCCATCATATAACTGCAGGTCTCTGCATGTCAGTTATGATGGGACAGGGGTGGGAAGGGAAGTGGCACATTGGTTGTGCTAGCCTTTGCCGTCCCCCAATCCAGCAGAACCCCAGACACATCTGAGCAATTGCTCTGCTTCCCATCAGGCACCAGCCCTCTCCACCGTCTGAACCCTATGCTCCTACAGCCCATGCCTCAGCCTGAAGTCAGGAAATGGGACCACCAAAGGGAAGAAGGCTACGGAAGCCAGCATCCTTCCCCAGACGTGGGCATGGGGTCAGGCATCCTTCCTGCAAAGGGTCCTGTTGGTTGGTCTGTGCTGCCACACCCAGGCTCTGACAGCTCCCAAAGAGGTTAAGCTGTTGGCATCTTTCGTTATGTTGCTCCAAGTCTTTGCTTTTATAAGGAAACTTTCCTGCCATAACTCTTGAAAATGGCTAGAAAAATGCCAGTGTTAGCGCTAAGTCCCTTCTGCCTCTGAACAACACTAAGAGCACAAAGGTGGTCAACTTAAATTCTTTGCAGAAGATAAACACATAATGTATGCTATCTTAAATATAGCTCCCAAGTGCAGACATGTCCTTCAGAACATCTTGTTGTAGGTCTTGGACTTTGCATCTTTGACGATAGAAAAGAAAGAGACGATAACTGCAGTTCTTCTTAAGCAATAACACTCTGGCCTCAGGCCTGTGCTTATTCCAGCGAGTATTCAAGATGTGCTGATTACGTAATGGGAAACTCACACTCATGCCCTTGGTTTATAGCAAATGTGTGTCTTGGCTATTTTACAGCAAAAAAGAAAAAGAGAAAGATCCAGTATTTCAGTGACTTGAGAGTTGTTATTAGAGTTGTTTCCTGCTTATGAGAGGACAGCTTCCAGTAAAGACAGATGGACTTGCCCTGGTGCTTTGCACACAGAGCTGAGGTGTGTTTCCTGACTGAGGGCCACAGAACACTTGTAGCAAGATCGAACTTCTGATGCGAGGTGATTTCACTACACCCAACCATTTTCCTATCCTCTTACTCAGTGGACTTTGTAACATAGCAAGATATGCTTTGAATAGTTGAAAACATGCAAAGAAGCCAACAGTAGGAAATAAATTATGTTGTTTGGGCAAAAAAAAACCAGATAAATAAATAAACAATTTTTTAATTTATATATGCTGCCATATAGAAAATAAAAACTACTATCTAACTTATTATTCTGATTATTGGTTGTAATAATGATATTAGCTCATAAATAATAAGGAAATACTGTTTATTCATCATTGTCTAATAATCTTTTACAAAAGGGTAAGTTAGATGAAAATTATTGGCATCAGTGTAGATAGAGTAGATTCAGATATTTTTGAAAGTCATTAAAAATTTTGTTCCAGGCTAATTTTTTACTGAAATGAAAGAAAGACTTAATTTACTGGCTAACATTACTATATTCTTCACTTCTGCCTTTCCATTAGTTGTGAAGTGTACCATTGTTTTCTATGTTATAAACTCTCATGGATTGTAGGATGCAGGCTAATTTCAGAGTTAAAATACAAACAAACAAAAAAGCAAAAACAAAACAAAAAATGTATTGTCAGTTAATATTTTACTTTTCTTTATCTACTTGTATATACATGAATATAAATATCTATCCAAAGGTAATATCACTTTATAAGCTGAGATTCTGACCAAGAACAAGCATTTTCTATCCTGAAGGAAAGTGAGCAGACCCTGCTGCATTAAGCACAGTGGGTCGCAGGTGTGTCTGATATGCCAATGTCAGGCCCTCTTGTGTGAACCTACCCAGTAAATCTGCAGTATCCCTAGTCCAATATACAGCTCCACTGAGTTCCCCAAAGTGAATCTCCCAGTCGTATCTCTATGGTGGCTGTGATTTATGGCTATCTTTGTTCAATTGTACTGCTGTAAGAGAACGCCTAAACCTAGTGGTTGAGAAAGCACAGAAATCCACTTCTCATGCTTCTGGAGGCTGGGAAGTCCAAGATAATACACCAGCATTTGCTTTGGTTAGGGCTTCTTGCTGTGCTCTTACCTGGGGGAAGAGGAAGGCCAAGAGAATACAGTCCCCTCTCTCAGGCCCCTATAAGAGAGGGAGGAGACTTCATGGATTGATTAGAGGCCACCCTTCAGTACTATTGCATTAAGAACATTCCAGTTTTGGAGTGACACATTCAAGTCACAGGAGTATTTATATCCTCTGCTTCCCTGAGTTCAGGTTTGAGAGGGGACCCCAAGAAACCCCAGGGAGAATTTTGGGGACCTATATTCCACAAAGAGCCCTAAGTGACCTGTTTATGGGTTTCTGTAGTCCAGAATTCAGGACACTAGTTGGCTGACATGTTGAAGAGCATTTTGTTTGCTCACAAAATTGTTATGTAAAACATGACTATCAGTTTAAGGGATCTGAAGTACTTGAGAGAGATCTAAATTAGTATATCTAGACTGATAAGAATAATGTATATGTTCCCCATAGCTTCTAATACTGCTTAACAAGGGTAAAAGGGTCTTCAGAATCTGCCTGGGCCTTATTTATACATGAACACCACCCACATCCTCTGGGGGAATGGAATTACCAGTATTCTGTACCACAGCATGTGCTGAGTTCCTGTTCCACAATACATTCTGCAACAGCTGTCAAAATGCATGACCAGATGGACACCTATGGATCTCCCAATAAGAGGATTCTGCTCAGACCCCTTTGTAATTAGCATCTGTAGATGGAAGGGGACATTAACAATTATGAAGTCTTAAGCCCTCATTTAGAGGCAGCACTATAGATGGGAGTCTAAAGTGTTTCTCCTAAGGGTTTCATTGAGAAAAAAGCCAGGATTCAAATCCAAAATTTCTGGTATTCCCTAATATTCAGGAAAATACCATCTCCCCAATGCAGTAGCCGGTATGTGGACATTAAGCCAATTATTACCCTGCCTATTATGCTTAGAGAACAAGCAAGAATTATTTCTGAGTTTTGTGTGAAACCTACTAATACAGAAGGAATAGGGAACTAAGGTTAGGCTGGTGTCTAGACCATGTGTTCAGGGTCATGTGAAGTCATTTTGAAGGGATTGCCCCATTCAGCTCATGGTGTCCCCAGGGATTGGCAGTATTGCTCCCATTTAGGTGATCGAGGAACTGGGACTCGGAGGTCTTTAATTAGATTGCCCCTCTCACCAGCACTGTCAGGGACCACACAGTACTCCAGATTAGCTCTCCTCCAAGGTGCTCTCTGTATAATGCATTTGTAGAGCTGGACTAACAGATGAAATTCAACTAACATCAGGACACGAGACAAGCCTTCCTGAGGAACATGTCCAATATCCTGTTTTGTCGCTATCTGTGGCAAAAGGTACAATAAAATCTGAAAATAAATAAAGGAAGGTCTACTAATTCTGAAAATATACCCAAATAGAAATTACAAAACTTTAGTCATAGGAGGATAAAGGTTTTAGTATAGTAAAAATCTAAAGGTGTACTGCAGGGAACTCTGTACTCACCAAATAAATCTACACCTTGGTGAGTTGAGAATGAATCATTTGAACATTAATGATGAATCAAACATAGGATTATAGGTTATGCTTAACAAAAATTGGATCTTCCTTATTTAGAAATTCCTGGGTGAAGGGGAATTAGCTATTGCACAACGAGGAGTGTATCATGATATAAATTTTATTTCTTTGAGACTCTCACCAAGAAAGGATCTCAAGAATTGCATTACAGAACAACCTGGCTGAGATCACAGGTTCTGCACTCAGCTTGTTTGTACTAATTCTCAGAACTCTTAGAACCAGAGTGACTGAACAAATTGCTTATCCCACCTAAGCCTCAGCTTTCTACATCGGGAGGTAGACACCGGATGTGGTGTAGAGTGTGAGGTAATTAATATGTGTACATACTAGTGCTTGGAGCATACTAAACAGATGATCCCTGGTACGTGTTTTATTATGGTTTCAGATTTAATGTATAATTATATAAAGCACATACGCTGAAGAGAAAGTCACTTGAAAAAAATCTGGAAGAAATCAGAACTACAAAGAATTTATTCTAGATAATTTATTCCACTCCCCAGGGCTGGGGACCAAACCAGGACCTTGTGCATGGTGGACAAACGCTTTACCTTTGAGCTATATCCCCGTTCCAAATGGCTTTGTTTCTTATTGTCTGTTTAAGGAAAGCTAAGAAAAAGAAGATATGAAGAAGAAAAGCTAAAGAACATACCCCATTATTCATAATTCTATTTTCTAGGCAGATTCTTAAAATTATAATAGAGTCAAAGCCAACAC